CGGCCCCGGATAAAGCGGAAGAAGATGGATGGATGGATATTAGCAACTTCAACCATCATCATCTTCTCAGAAGTTCACAAATGTCGCATCCCTATTCAATGCAAGTTGATATGGTTTTATTAGAGAAATAAGAATATCAAATAATGTTAATTATAAACATAAATAATAAACATACAAAATACATGAAAACAAAATGTAGCAGTGTTTGGTTTACATACTGCCATGTGGGCCTGCTGTGTTTTTGTACAGAATTTCCACAGTTGCCAGGAAGATATTAAAAACATGACTAAGTACTTTTTGTTTGCTCTTACTGGGAACCATGACTCAGCATGGGGAGGTACATGCTGGTCAACGTGATTAAGCCCCCCTTCCTCCCTCTAAGTTACCATGCTCGCACTGATAGAGTATACTGGAATATTATCAGCTACCCATACCACTCCCATTCACAGATTAAAGAAAACACAAAATTTATGTGTCCCACCCAAGCTAACTAAATGTAAATTATTATTAAGTTTAAAGTTTCCAATATCAAGAGTTTTACAGTTATACACTTAACATTTGGCCTCGCGGGTCAGGTACCGACCTATATCTGACATATATCAGTATATCTGTACATTTGCCCGTAGTACATCTGTATATTTGCTCTCTACTTATCTGTATATAATTGCTCTTATTGCACTTACTACTCTTGCACTTCTAATTAGATGCAAATTGTACTTCGTAACCCTGTATTTACACATGTGTAATGACAATAAAGGTGAATCCTAATCCTAAACATTTAAAATTAAAATCAAAATACATCTCGTTCATACCCTGAGTGCAAACACCACATTAAACAAGATCATTGTTGGCATTTCTCTCTTGGGTGAAGGATCTGTTTTAGAAACCTGCAAAGAAAAAAAGACAAACTTATCACCAGATGCAAAATCTAGACAAGCCTTTATATTAAAATGTCAGTTTACAGTTTGTTATTTTGCTGTTATAGTCAAAACTACTAACTGATGCCATTTTTTAGATTTATTTTTTTCTTTGGAAGACTATGACATTTAAAAACGCTCAAATAAAACCTGCCACAACTTTTCCAATGTCCAGTGCAACAAAATCAAATGTTGTATTGAGTGAAATCCAAAGACATTCAGTTTAAAGACATAAATAACAAAAAGAGCAGCACTTGATAAAAGGAGGTTTCACACTTTTCACTTGTAAAATGAATTAAATAATTAAGACCTAATCAAAATGCTATGGAAGCTAAGCTAAGAAGTTAACCTTAAGGCCTAACTTCCATGATATGTCACACCAGACTTGTACAATGATCTTATGAATTTACTGTGGACTGAAATGTTCAGTTTAAGTAAACAGAAGTGCTGCATGACATCCATGGTAATTTTAAGTCAGATACAGTAGGTGTTGTTGTAAAGAATAAGTGCAACCCTTGTGACTTTCATATTTCTCTATTTTCTCCACCCTGTGTGATACACCATTATCTTAGCAACACATGCTGCGAGTCATTAGACTGAAAGACTGACAGCAGGGAGCTTCAGCCAAATTTCAAACAAGCCACGATTGAATATATATTATTCAAGCTAAGTACCGATACACAACAATATGATAATAATAATAATAATGATAATAATTATAATAATAGTTTACACTTTCTATTGTTTACTGTTTATGTATTAGTCAACATATATACATCAACATATTTCAAAACAGTGCAGCATTTCGCTAAAAATCAACAAACAAAGACGTCAAACATTACAACAACAATAATTTGCCATTCATGTTTGAGTTAAGCTCTGCAGGTACTGCTTTAGTGGCTTCTTAAATGAAGCCCTGTTTTTGGTCAGTTTGGTGTTGCTTGGCAACCCGTTCCAGAGAGAAGAACCTCTGTATAGAACAGCTCTTGTCATAAAATTAGTTCAACTGTAAGCTAAAGAATTCACTTCATGTGTCACGAGATCGTGGCTAAAACCAGTACTTACAAAAGAAATGTGGCACAGATTTCATAATAAAGGAGTTTTCATAAATAAATAATAAAACACGTTTAATTGTTTATCAGCAGTGAGCCAAAATATTTGCTTATACATGTTGCACACATTTGTATTGTAGGAGCTTTCAGCAGCACGTGACCACATTAATGAGCAACACTCCACATGTGACAGAACAAGTGAGCAGATGTCATTAATCAAAACAAAGGAGCTGGAGACCCAACAGCTGAGTAGTTAGTCCTATTATATTTCTTTAAAATCAGTGAACACAGTGCCAAGACTCTCACTCTATCTTATAGACCTTCATTTAGGCCTCACTCCACATGTTTAGAGACAAGACCTGTGTATATCCTTAATACTAGAACTGACATCAGTGTAGCTAATAGAGGGAGAATAGTTGCCCTATACGAGATGCATACAATCCATGGCTGTATTACAGTCAATAAAGGTACTTTTTACAGTGAACACAGCAGTTGGCAGAATTTCAAGCTTTGAGTCGCATTTCTACACTGAGGCTACGTCCACACGTACCCGGGTATTTTTGAAAACGCAGATTTTTCAATGCGTTTGCACCTTTCATCCACACGTAAACGGCGTTTTCGGTCACTGAAAATTGAGATTTTTAAAAACTCCGGCCAGGGTGGATATTTTTGAAAACTCAGTTTTTGCATTTATGTGTGGATAAGAAAAACGCAGAAAACACAGCGTCAAAGGTGTGCGCCTTTTTTGACGTCACACTGTGCACCACGTTATTGTTTCGCTGAAATGAATTTCTACAATATCATTACTGTTAATTGTACTCTCTGCAGTGTTTAAATGCTTACATATACACACACAGTTACTGTCCCTCCACACATACCACTCGGTTCTGCTTCTATGCTCCATCCTTGTTTACTATTTCCCACGAGGCTTCTAGACTTCTGATTGGCCAACATTTCGACACGGTTAGGAATATATCGCCACCTGTTGCTTTGGCATGTTCCTAGCAGCTTTTTCCTTCATTTCTGCGTTTACGTGTGGACGGGATTATTTTTTAAAACGAAAACGGAAAATCTCAGTTTTCAAAAATACCCGTGTACGTGTGGACATAGCCTGAGATTGCTTGAAAATGAAAACAGTGTGAACACGCGGATCAATGAAACATCACAAACAGACTTTGAAGTTATTTGCTTTTCTTTAAACTTCTCTCTAGAGTCACATGTTTTAAATATCATCTTAAAAGTTTGTTAGACTATAGGTACTAATGTGACTCAAATCCAAAGTGTGCTAGATTAAAGTCTGAATCTCACGTGTAAGTAAGTAGATGTAAAGTTTAATTATTAAGCGCTTTTCATAGACAGGCAACTTTTCTCCCTATGGTTAATACCTGCAGTCTCACGTAGCATGCATATATAACGTCTTGCATCTTAAGCTGTGCTTGGTAGAATATACTGCTCATGAATTAGTGCACTGTTAACCTAGCACCTGTGAGCCATAAGCAATTTTTTTGCAATTGCAGCCTTAAAGTAAGTTGCCCCAAATAGCAAATTTGACCCTATAACATGCTGATAAATATGTTTTCTGACGAGAAATTATTTACACCTGTCAGCATGTGAGCTCAATTTTTTATCTGTTCCTACCTGGATGATAGGAGGATGCTGAAGCAGGGTGGGGTGGCCCACAAATCGAACATTGTCTATCTTCAGTTCAAACTTCTTTCCACACATATCAGATTTGGTGGCCAGGATTGTGGAGAGGACGATGTCAGAGAACCTAAAAGAGGGAAAAACCCCAATAAGAAAATGTGCAGTGTGGGGAGAGCGTGGACATCACAGACACAACTGAGATGAGTGAGAAAGTTTAAATTAGCTCAGTTTGCTTATACTTTTCACATTCCTGTCTATCGGAGAGGTTACATTAATCAGATGCATCTGCCTGTAATGAAATTCAACAAGTGTATAAATGGAAAACAAAACTTGTTTGCCTGCTAGAGAGGCGAAAAGAGGAAAAAGGCCTCTTTGCGGAAAAGGTGCAATCGCTGTATGAATGAAGAGTGTGAAAGACTCATGCTGGTTTGACTTAAGTAACTCATGCTGTGATCAAAAGGACACAAATTAAGGTGTTAACTCTTGGAAATAAAAAAAAAATTAAACACACCACAGACTTACTCCACCACCACAATTTGAACTGTGTTCTTTAAAGCTTACTCTACATGCTAGAGGTAATATAAACAATACAGACTAAAGCTTCAATGATAGCCTTAAACTCATATTTTGTAAAAACCAAAGCACTGATTCATTCTTGTACGACATTTTAAAAGGATTGTGTACTTAGATCAGGGTTGGAGATCCATATAAGACACAAAATAGGAAAGAAGGGGATAAAAAGACAGGGGTGATCTAAGCGAAGGAAAGGTGGTTTAGAATGATTTCGTCTTACCCTGCTACCAACTGTTCGTCAGTTAGTGGAGATTGCTCTCTGAAATGGGGATTGGGCCACAAAAAAGAAGAAAAAAAAAACAAACAAAAGGGAAAATGCAACACACAGTTGGGCTAAATGCATAAAAATGGACATCAAAACAAGCCGAACAAACATGTGATAGTGTGATGTGAAAACACTGGTGTGCTGAAGTTCTAATACCAGCAGTGCTGGTTAGTGAGCTTCTATACCCGCCTCAAAGGTTTTCAAGGTAACTAAGTGTGTAATAAAATATGACAGTACAATAAAATAAGTCTGAATTATCTTTACAGTTAATAAGGTTAATGTATGGCTTCAAATAATTTTAAACGCTGCTGGTGGGAAGTAATAGAATATATATCAGAAAAATCATAATCCTGATTTTCAACAAACATTTTCTTATTTTTGTTCTGCTAAATTAGTCTGGCAAATTCCTACACTACCTGCCCAATATCTAAGATATGTTTCACGTCATGAACACCAAATGAAAGCTGCTCTTATGCAATTGAATGGCACTGCTTGCTTTAATAAAGCTAATAATAACAAAATGACGTAAACAACGCTTCTATGAATAGGTTATTTTACAGACTTATGAACAGTATGTAGTATGAACATTATACAGATATTGACACATATGTGGCATCACTGAGAAGCAGTTTTACTCTTTTGTTTTTCTCAGTAGATGAAGAAGTGTCCCAGCTAAATTCAGAACGTGACTACTGGTGTGGTTACACAGTAACTGCCTTGATGGAACCTTACTAGCATGAAAGACAAAATAGAAACTCATCTTAAGATAGGGCTGTGCGATATGACCAAAATCTCATATCCCGATATAAGAATTCTATCGTCCGATAACGATATAAATCACAAAAATGTAACATTTTCTGTAAATTCTGTGAATCTCGGGCAGCTCGTCTTGCGGGAAGTGTTTCCA